GAAGCCATGTTACTTCTGTCCCCTAAATTTAAGAAATTTTTCCTCTCCATTTCCTAGTACTCAGATATTGTTGAAGACATTACAGTTCAGAGGAATGGGAGTATGGGGTCTGGCGTTAGATGGACTGAGGATCAAATCCCTCTTCTGCCACAAGGGAGATCATAGATCCTGGGCAGTTAACCTCTATATACTGTAATTTTCTCATCTGCAAAATGGGAATAAAATGTGTGATTATGGGAGTGCTGTAGATATTAAAAGAGGAAATTAATTTTTAAGGATTACAAATGTTACACATTATTATTATATCATGTTCTTGTGCCTAACTCATACTTTAAAATAACTTTGGTTTCATCCTGACTGTAGGCAAACTCATGCAGTAAATACAGCAGATGTGGTCAGCCATGTAGTAGTTAGATGCTAAATAATTAATCAGTTCATTCACTCATTTCTTTAATTTTTTCATTCCTTCAACTAAAGGGGATGGTAAGCACTGGAGAATCAATTATGGCAATGAGGAGACGACTTTATGAGCTCACAGCTAGAGGGGATACAGACCAAAAAAGAAATAATTAGAAAGCAGTGTGAGAAGTGCCATGGAAATAAGAAGAAAAGGTTACTGAAATACATTGAAGAAAGCCAATTATTATGCCTGGAGAAATTAAGCAAGAGTCACAAAAGAAGTAGTAAAGACTTGTCCTTAGGACAGATTTAGGGCCATCAATTTCCCATGTAAGTGATGTTCCCTGTCCCACTGGGAAGTTCCAGATGAGCTAACATTTCCTGGGACTACTGTAAATATGAGATTGAATCTTAAAGCATATACCTCCCTATTCCAGAGTTCCAGTCATGCAAATAAAAGATACAAGACTTTTAAGATTAAGCTTAAAAATGGGAATACCAGACCACCTGACCTGCCTCTTGAGAAACCTGTATGCAGGTCAGGAAGCAACAGTTAGAACTGGACATGGACAACAGACTGGTTCCAAATAGGAAAAGGAGTACGTCAAGGCTGTTTATTGTCACCCTGCTTATTTAACTTATATGCAGAGTACATCATGAGAAATGCTGGGCTGGAAGAAGCACAAGCTGGAATCAAGATTGCCGGGAGAAATATCATTAACCTCAGATATGCAGATGACACCACCCTTATGGCAGAAAGTGAAGAGGAACTAAAAAGCCTCTTGATGAAAGTGGAAGAGGAGAGTGAAAAAGTTGGCTTAAAGCTCAACATTCAGAAAACTAAGATCATGGCATCTGGTCCCATCACCTCATGGGAAATAGATGGGGAGACAGTGGTAACAGTGTCAGACTTTATTTTTTTGGGCTCCAAAATCACTGCAGATGGTGACTGCAGCCATGAAATTAAAAGATTCTTACTCCTTGGAAGGAAAGTTATCACCTAGATAGCATATTAAAAAGCAGAGACATTACTTTGCCAACAAAGGTCCGTCTAGTCAAGGCTATGGTTTTTCCAGTGGTCATGTATGGATGTGAGAGTTGGACTGTGAAGAAAGCTGAGCACCAAAAAATTGATGCTTTTGAACTGTGGTGTTAGAGAAGACTGTTGAGAGTCCCTTGGACTGCAAGGAGATTCAACTAGTCCATCCTGAAGGAGATCAGTCCTGGGTGTTCATTGGAAGGACTGATGCTGAAGCTGAAACTCCAATACTTTGGCCACCTCATGCAAAGAGTTGACTCATTGGAAAAGACCCTGATGCTGGGAGGGATTGGGGGCAGGAGGAGAAGGGGTCGATCGAGGATGAGATGGCTGGATGGCATCACCGACTCAATGGACATGAGTTTGAGTAAACTCCAGGAGTTGGTGATGGACAGGGAAGCCTGGTGTGCTGTGATTCATGGGGTCGCAAAGAGTCGGACATGACTGAGCGACTGAACTGAACTGAACTGAAGATTAAGCCCCTTCAGTATTCAATTTAATATAACTATTCTTTAGAACACTTAAAACTTTTTTGAGTGGAAGTGAAAAAATGGGGCTGGATTTCATGTTACCTCTTAAATTCTAAAGTCTTGTAAATTGCATCATTTCTGAATATGTTCAACAACAAAAAATAGTATTACTACCAGTTAGATTAAGTCCCCGAAACCTGTGGTCTTTATGGCATGTCATTAGAATCTTCTAATGCTCGCAGGGTCTGCTCACCTAAAGTCCCAAAATGCAAGTCCAATTCTGCATGTTCCTGTGTTTTCAGGTTGCTTGAAATTGATCCTAAGCTTTTTTTTCTGGATTGACATCAGTGCTTCCAGTGTTATGGGTTTTTGGTTGGTTTGTTTGCTTATTTTTCTGTAAAATAAATCACTCTCTTACTATTTCTCTATCTCTTCCATTTAAAAAAAAATTTTTTTTTTACTTTTCTTAGTTGTCTACTTTTCCCTCAGGAAGTTGTACATTCCTTCTTTTCATTTGTTCAGATTGTAAAAGTTTAAGTGAACAAACACATGTAGATACACTCAGACAGACACACATACACTCACATGGAAGAACAAAGTTTTAACAATTCTGGCTGATACAAAACAGAGAAGCACTTTAATAGAGACCTCACTACTCCTTTGTGTATCTTCTGCCGGTTTTCGACTGTATTTAGTTCTTAATGAAGCACTTATAGGTGTTGGTTTTGGACTCTTTTCCTTCCAGGGATAATTTTTGAAGCCTGTAATGTTGGAAAATGTTCTCAGACAATCTGTGCTCTGCTGGTGCACTTTGTCCCTGTGGGCCCTTAAAAACTCAAATTCATGGGTTATCTGTCACTTTGTATGTTTGTTTTTTGGGGGCACACAAAAGGATTAAACCACCTTAGTAGTATAAAATGGCTTTTAATCAGTTTTTTTTCTTCTAAGTATGATCACTTAACCTGCTTCATAACTGTGAATCAGTGCAGCTGGAGCCCTTTTGGAAATCCCTTGGCTGGTGTGTGGTTAGAAGCATAGGGTTCGAATCAGTTGGCCAGAGTTCACATATTGGCACCGTTGTTTGCTGGTTGTGTGACTTGTGACTGATTAGCCTTTCTTTGATTCAGTTTTCCTATTGATAAAAATAGAGTCAAAGGTAATATTCATGTCTTAGGTTTGTTGGGATAGTTAAATAAGATTGTGTGTAAGGAGTGCTTAGCCTGGCCTGGAATATAGTAAGTTCTTAGCAAGTGTCGTTCTTGTTACGGCCTATAAGTAACATAGCCAACAAGGAGACAGGGCAATATCAGGAAGAGGCCACAAAGGCGGTTCAGAGACTATTGCTATGTTTGGTATTACTTGCTCCCGTATCTGTCAGTTCAGAAATTTGTTATTTTGTGTGGAAAGGACTGATAAATCTTGGCACAGTTTCCCCCCAAGTAAATCACATTATTTCTGAAATTTGTTTTGCACTCTTCTTTAACTTCTCTCCACACATTAGTCTCTAACCCTTAGTGCTCATCATCCACTGCCTTCTGCCTCAATTCCAGGACATGAGAGTCAACATCTGTGGCTTCTGTTTTCACACCATGATTGTGGTTGGGAAACTCCATTCCCAAAAATCCCTCCCAGTTCTTGGTGAAAGCCTCTGCTTATAATTTATGTTTTCCACACAGAGCTAGTAAAGATCTCAGTGCTGTAAAATTAATTCTGTAATTATCACCTGTTCTTTATGTTCAAATGTTTGTTCAAATGTTTACACCCTACATTTAAGAAATCATCTTCTGATACTTTTTATTACTTAATAGAAGCAGAGATTTCTCCCATACAGCCCTATGCTGTCTCGTTAACACACCTGATCTGTTTGTTCTCATATAGTTTTCCTGTGCAGCCAGGGGAGAATTTATGTAGAACTTCCATACCAGCGTTAAAGATAGCCATAGCAGTACCAAAGAGGTCCTTGTGAAATATATGATTGGGATGTACCACAGGAATTAATAATTCTCAGGCCACTGTCTTAAATGGTAACCACAGTGTTTTTGTAAGGAAGTTGCTCAATTTATGTACACAGAACACACAGGGCTGCGTTCTGACTGGGGAGCCAGTTTTATTTAAAATTTATATCTCAGAAAATACTAAGATTATTCTACTTAATATGCACATGCTATATTCCTTTGAGTGACATTATGAAATGTTTTGCTAATTTGACCCTTCCTGATAATTTCCTGAAATTCTAAGTGAATAAATGCCATCTCTAAAAATGGTTTTAATGTCTTTTCCCCCAAAGTAAAGAATTATTTTTTTTTAATTAATAATTGTACAGATTTATCATCCACTATAAAAAATAATTTTCTTGGAAACTATGCCAGTTTTCCTCTTCAGGTTCCCCAATTAAGTAAAACTTTAAAGACATACTTCCAGTTTGCTGGATTTTAGTAGGTCAGCATACACACCAAAAGTGTATTAAGGTGGACTGCTCTATTTATTGATTTGCAGTGAATCTGCTAAAGGCTCAAGGCAATTGTCTGCGGAAGGGGCGGGAGGGCCATACACGATCGAGGTCATGCGCATCTAGCCAATTTGTAAGACGATCCAGCCGCTTCAAGCCATCAGCAATCCTTAGCATAGGGGCACACTCATGCATTCTTGTCAAGTCATCTTGTGAAAGGCTGCCTGCTTCCAGCTTGGCTTGGATGTGCAACCTTAATAAAACTCACTGAGGTCTGGGAGAAAATAGCAGATCTGCAGCAGATAGGGTAGAGGAAAGGGTCTAGAGTATGTACACGCAGCTGACTCAGGCAGGCTCCACGCTGAACGGTTACACCGAGAGGAAACAATAAATCTCAGCTACTATGCAATAAATATCTCAAGTTTTTAACTAAGGAAACTATCATTACGGTGAAATTAAAAAAAAATACCATTTTAGAACAAGCTAAAAATGGCTAGTTTTCTGTGATTTTTCTACAAAGCTTTCTTTGAAAGGGAAAAGTCAAACAAACAAGCAGTTTTACCTGAAATAAAGAACTAGTTTAAAGTTCAGAAGAAAGGAGCGAGTTTTGCGAGAGGCACGGAAAGAGAGTGCCGGCAGTACAATGACAGTTTTCCTTTCCTTTGCTTTCCTCGCTGCTATTCTGACTCACATAGGGTGCAGCAACCAGCGCCGAAGTCCAGAAAACGGTGGGAGAAGATATAACCGGATTCAACATGGGCAATGTGCCTACACTTTCATTCTTCCAGAACATGACGGTAACTGTCGTGAGAGTACGACAGACCAGTACAATACAAACGCTCTGCAGAGAGATGCTCCACACGTGGAACAGGATTTCTCTTCCCAGAAACTTCAACATCTGGAGCATGTGATGGAAAATTATACTCAGTGGCTGCAAAAAGTAAGTGAACGCTTTCAGTTTCTAATTGAACGGAGTCTTTTCTGTTCTCCCGCTGCAACTAACTTAGAGTTCCTTAGGGGGCCATTCATGTGTTTACCTTTTGCTCCAGGGGGGCAGTGTTTGCAAATGCAAGACGGCTCTCTCCCTGTGACTTAAGGGGGCGAGCCAATGTTTTGTAGGCTTGTGCCTCTGAAGGTATGGTGGCACCCCATTTGTGTGCCTAACACTGGCATATTTTGTGACATTTTTGGTTTTCTCTTATTTAAAATTTAGCTTGAGTTTTTCTGACTGTCAAAGCCCAACTTAAAAAAGAAAAATCATGTATGTCTTGAGTAAGTTGGTGAAAAAATTAAATAATAACAACAGTACTATTAGGATCAAATCAATTTTACACCCTGACATTTTATGCAGCTAGGACAGAAAGTCATCACCAGATACTTATTTTTCAACCTCTAGTAAAGTTAATATAAAATGCAGATAAATACAAAGCATGATATTTGATTGAAGAAATTGAATAAGTATGTAAAGGAAACAGTTTCAGCAAGTAGTAGAATAGTAAAGGACTGATTTCTGTCATATATTTCTTCTGTCCTTGAGAAAAAAATCAGGAAGATATATTTGAATGTGAACTCATCAGGAAGAGGTTGTTTGCCCACTGTGAAAAGACATGCACCTGCAGATTTGGGCTGAACACAACATGTAGATTTTGCTATGTCCCTAAAGTGCCTCTTTCCTCAAGTCATTATAGTCACACACAGTGCAATGTGGGGATCCAGATAAATGTTAATGTTGAGTATGCGTTTAATCCCAATTTATAAAAATCAAGCACTGTATTTAGTCATTTCTCTATAAACCATTTAAAAGTTTTTGTTGAAAATATGCCAGTGAAAAATAACACACTTTCTTCAATTCCTTCCCTCTTTGCTCTCTGTTTAATTGTGTAACAAGTAAGCAGCAGATAACAAGTGTATTCAAATGTGTCACTGGAAGGGTGACAGTGTCAGTGTCCCATTTGTGGAAAGCTTCTCCTCCAGGGATCTTTGCTAAAAATTCACTTGATGTGTATGGGTAGGAACACAAGCAGTCTAGTCTTCTTTATGTTAGTCTGTTAACAGAACAAACCCTTTAAGAAGATAAAAGATAGGGAAAGGACAAACTCTCTTTTTTGTTCCTGTGTGGTCACACTCACTTAGATCACCTCCTGCTGAATCATGCCAAGTAATAGTTATTTTACTTTTGTCCACTAGGGACTGAACTAAGATCACTGTTATTTTATTTGACAAGTTAACTAAAATTTAGCAATTTTAGAGTTTCCAAGCTTGGAATTTTAGTTAATCTTCCTATTGTAGATTACAGGTGAAAAAAATACATCGATAGGCAAAATAATAGAAAACAAACAATTCTGAAGTCTTTTGATAACATGGCTTAAATTTCAGGCACTAATCAAATGTAGCTTAAATTTCAGGCACTAATTACAGCAGCAGCTTATAATAGGATTTTTTTTTCCTTTCACAAAACTTATTTCCATCAAACAAATGAATTTGGTTGAATAGCTTATTACTATTCTCAATATACTGTTCATATAGTTTTAAATGAGAATTTAATCATTATAAATTAGTCTGGATTCATTGAGGAAAGTAGAGAGGGAAATTTAACTCCAAATGGTCTTCAATGAGTTGTTCTACCAAAAATGTAATATTTTGTTTGCTTAAAATATACAATCTAAATGATGATTTAAGCATGAAAATGCATATTTTTGTTGTTGTCATACAGTTATTCAACTGTAGCAGGATAAAGACATGATTCTACTAGGTTTAAATCATGCACATGCTTCATTTGTTAATGTTTGAAATACATTTGATTTTTGTTTGTATTATTTTTGGTCAAGATTATGGCATAATTTTCAGATTATAGCCAAGCATAACTATGAACATGTTTTTTGGTTAAATTAACATAGAGTCGGACATGACTGAAGCGACTTAGCAGCAGCAGCAGCATGAATCAAGCTGAATATATGCTGACAATGTCTCTGTTGGTTTGAGTCAGAGCAGTTTGGCTTGACTATTGTCCGTTTGAATTTGCATATCTTTTGTCATTGTTAATGCGATTGGTTGGAGGATCAAGAAACCAAATAAATGCACTCAGCAAAGAACTTGCTAAAGGCTCTCATAAGTTTCCCTTAATTAGAAGTTTTCTGTCCTTCAAGTTCTAAGTTTCATGCAATGTATTTGTTTTGATAATTAAAATGGAGATCTTTTTTATTGTAACCATTTGGTATACTTAATACTGTAATTTGTACTACTTCTATTTTGAGTCTTAGTAGTTGTATTAGGATCAGAAGTAATGCACTGCAGAAACTGAGGCCATCAGTGTGAGTAATTCATCCATTTATTCCACAGAATAATTAATCAAACGTGCTTACTATGCAGCTCATGTCATCACTATTGGGAATTTTTTTTTTATGCAGAATGTATGTTATCAATGCTAGCAGCAACTTGATGATAATTTATGTTAATCTATTACCTTGCTTGATGTTTGGTAAACTGGATTCTTTTAAATATTCTTCACAAGAGACTGGCTGTCACTATAAGTCAGTATATGAGACTTATATTTCCAATCTCATTCCTCAACTCTTCTGGTCTTGTAACTGAAGAAGATGAGAAGCAAGGTGGGCAGTGGGGCATAGAATGTATTGATCATCATAAGTGCTGGAACTGTTACATTACTGGTCTCTTGATGTGACGGATTTAGTTCTTGGAGATCAGCTTTCCATGATAACTTGTTGATTAACACCAACATGAGGTAGGTTTGTAGCATCATCCTTACTTTTCAATCAGGAAAAGCAATATACATAAATGTTCAAAAGTCACATTTTTATTGGATGAAACACCTGGGTTGTCTGTCTAGGTTTGACTTTCTTCTGCCATATAGCTCTTTTCAGAATTGTTAACAAACCATACTAATATCTGAGAGTGACCAGATATTAGGATAGTAAAGATAAGTACAAAAGGCCTTTGTATCTTTGCTGCTGTTTTTGTGATTCCTTTTTACTTTTCAATGACACAGAAATGTCTATTGTTGAACGTCTATTCCACATCCTGTGCTTCTTGAACTGTTGTTTTCTTTCTCTCATATACCCCAAGCTCACAAATACGGGTATTTAAAATATTTTGGGAGAATGCTTAGAAAGTCTATTTGCCTTTGCCAAATGGTGTCTTTTCTTTTTTTCTAGTAGAAAGTATAAATAAATTGAGTTAAAAACATGCCTTGTAGCAGAGAGCAAAGATCTATCTACTATACTATTTCACACTAGCTAAAATTAATGAATTGATTGTTAGTATAAAGTGCAGTTATGAATTGTCATCAGAATATTAATAAATGAAACCTTTTTAATGAAGTTCTTGGATAATTTTTTTTGACAGCACTTTTTGGCTAACAACATTCTCTATTTGAATATTACATTCTTTGCTTCAGAGAATTAGGATTTAGCATACAGTTATCTGAAACATATTAATGATAGCAAGGGCTCCCTGGTGCCTCAGATGGTAAAAAATCTGTCTGCAATGCGGGAGACCGGAGTTCAACCCCTGGGTTGGAAAGATCTCCTGGAGGAGGGCATGGCAACCCATTTCAGTATTCTTGCTTGGAGAATCCCCTTGGACAGAGGAACCTGGAAGGCTACAGTCCATGGGATTGGAAAGAGTTGGACATGACTGAATGACTCAGCACAGCACAGCAATGATAGTGATAATCTTTTTTAAAAAACCCTTGTATTACACCTATCAACTCATATTAATATCTACTAGGGTGTGACTTCCTTGCGTGTTTGTCCAGTGTCATTTCCCAGTGCCATACTTAGAGTAGTATATCATCCGTGTGTGTGTGCTTAGTCACTCAGTCAGGTCTGAGTCTTTGCGACCCCATGGACTGTAGCCCGCCAGGCTCCTCTGTCTACGGGGATTCTCCTGGCAAGGTATTGGAGTGGTTGCCATGTCCTCCTCCAGGATATCCATAGAATATGGATAATAAATGTTTGTTGATTGAATAAATGAATGCATTGTCTTTGTATTGCAGACTGCACTTACTATGTGCTATTAACATTTTGGGTATATACTTCACTTTCCCAACTATATTTTAAGTTATCTCTTAAGCAAGGACCATGTGGAGGAGGAAAAAGAATACTTTCTCTACCGTTCCAGGTTCATGACTGAGACCTCTCTATAATACAAAACATGTTAACAAGAGAAAAACAAACAAGTTTAATAATATGTATACCTGCACCCAGGAAAACTGAGTAACCCCCCAAAATGACCTCAAATACTGTCTCCAGCTAAACACAAAAGATGTTGTCTCAGGTAAGCCAGGTTTTCAGGGCAAGCACAGTAAACAAGAGTAGGGCTGTTATGAAGATTTAAATCCATGCCTTCTCTGTTGATAGAGTTACTAGAGGTTTAGTCATCTTCCTCTTGTGATACAGAGAGTGAGTATGTGTGCATGTCTGCTAAGTTGCTTCAGTCATATCTGACTCTTTGTGACCTGTGAACTGTGTAGCCTGCCAGGCTTCTCTGTCCGTGGGACTCTCTGGGCAAGAATACTGGAGTGAGTAGCCATTCCCTTCTCCAGGGGATCTTCCCAACCCAGGGATTAAACCCAGGTCTCTTACATCTCCTGCACTGGCAGCATGGGCTCTTTACCAGGACACCTGGGAAGCCCACACCCTTACAAATGGAGTTCTCTTCTGTAAATGTAAATTCCTCTGTAAATGTAAATTAGAAGGCTACTTTCTACTTGGTTTTTGGAGCTTTTCTTATGTCTGCTGCTTCTTAAAAATAATCAGCCTGCATCAAAAAAAAAAAAAAAAAAAACACCTGCCTGAAATAATCCTTATGCCAAAAAGGCGTATTTTGGCATGACAAATTCTGCTCCCCTTCAACTACATCATGCAACATTTTTGTCCTAATATTACATTAAAAGATATTGAGTCTAGGCTATATGGTATT